AAATGCGAACATAGTTTAGATAATAAGATTAAAAATTTAGGTACTATCAACTGCACTAGTGAGATAACTAAATCCCCAAGTAGCTGTTGGCTAAACAAACGTTTAAAATCAAAACTCAGTAGCCTACTAGAATGAACAGTAAACGAATATTTCTGAATTGAAATTTATAATTAAATTAGGCGTCTCGGATTCTTTAACGTTATAAATTTCTGATGATTTTGAATCACCTAAAGCAACAATACCTATTTTTCCACTGACTAATCCTTAATCAACACTATAACTAGTTAAATTTAATAGTTTCAGGATATCGTCATGAAGCATTGTCATAGCTTGACAATCACGTAATATGACTGATAAAATTAATGAAACTAGTAACGAAATCGGTCAACAAATTGACTTATAATTATCATTAAATGGTGTTGTTTTCTTGGTATCTTCATCCATCACAGATGATTACAGTATGTTTCTCTATCAGTTGCTCATTCAGTAAATATCTCAAAACCTTGTCAGTCTAATTGATGGTTTAGCGACACAATCATGCATGCAAATAATCAGTATAAGCAGTCGAGCAAATCTCCTGCAAAACTGAAAACATCAATGTCGAATTTACCCCAACACTGACTAAGGTTCAAGCCATTATCATAGACATGAGTTGGGAGTGTACTCCCCCTGGTTACAACTTATGTTCTCCCTGATAATCACATGAGCATCACTCACTATTAATCATCTTGTAAAAACTTATTTAGCTAAATACATTTTGCAGCACCACATCACTTCGTAATATGACACAGGTCTAACTGATTTTAATAACTTGTAACCACTATATCTCAATTAAATCGTGTTCCGCCTTATGATAAACTGCATACTTGCAACTAACTTGTATGTCCAATCAGCCGGCAAGTATAAATACAAGTAAATAGTCTGCCACAGATCAGAACATTGAGTCCAGAGCATGTCTCTTACGAATACGCTCATGTTTAACGATTTGTTCCTAGCTATCTGTCCAAAATTCATATAATCATCACTCACGTATTTAAATTTTATTTTGGTAACCATTCATGTGTATTAGTAGTATTACCAAATTCTATCACGGTCAAGTAAAAATGAAGTTGAGAAAATCTCCCCGTAACTAAATAAACCGTATCAAACTAACTGGAACACTAGTTGGAATTCTTTACCATGGTAATACTTTTGTTCCTTCAGTTAGCCTACTGATACAGATGCAATTGGAAATCAACTGTTATGGACAACTTACCGGCATAATCGTTATCCGATTTCATAATTTAAACCAAAACTAATACCAATATTAACATTTCTACAATATTCATTATTTTAATATTTCTAAACACAAAATAATTACTACCTATAAGTTAAGTTATTAACACGCATCGTTTTATTATTATTATTATCTCATTTTTTATAGTTCAAATAATCTTCACCCAAATTTTCATTTCAAGCGTTTTAAGCATGAAGGCAGATATTTTAAAATTATTACATGTATTTCCCGACCAGATGCTGCCGCTTTCTTTTTGATTTATCTTTCAGCTTACCAATACCCGGAGGATTCTTATTATCCTTGGTAACCTCCGGCGCGCGACGATCCCATCCAATTTGGTATCGAACCAACATCACGTTGATTCTGGTGGGAGAGTAGTGTAGTGGCATTGGACAATAGCCACACAATCCACAAAGCTGTGAACACGAGACTACTCAGAAAATAGATATTCAATATTTAACGCGGAGAAATACCTAACAATGGAGAAGGCGCGAACAATGAATTGAATGGACGGGAGTTGATCGAGTGGCATGGCTCGGCCATGCAGGCGTGGTCCCTGCTGGATATTATCCTATATCTCATTCATATTAAATATATTGTTCTTTCTCTATCCTAACCTTGTTGTTCATCAGGTATTGGTAATTGATACGATACAGTGAGTTGGTGTAGTCAATGGTGTGACTTCCACGTAAGATCTTATAGATTAGGCAGTTATATCATGACGAATCTACAATTTTGGGATTAGGTCTATTATTAGAGCAGTACTAATATCATAGTAGATCATAATTCTACAGATTCTCACCGAGTTGCCGACTTAACATTTTTGAATAATTGCAGATCTTAAATGAGGTTGAAAAATTGAGCTCCGGCTGTTAACCGAAAGCTTGATGGCTCGCGGTCAGTAAAAACCAGGAATTTCCTGCTTCCTAGCATGTGTCGGAAATGCTTAACGGTTAGATAGATTGGGAGTTCTCGTTCGAAGGTAGAATACCTTGTCTCTGCTGGAACAAGTCTTTTTGAGAAGAAATAAATCTGTTTCCAGGCTTTTTTAACCAGTTGGTTAAGAGTACCAGCTGCTTCTCTGCCCGAAACAACCACTGTCAAATCGAGTGGGGAATGAGAATTCTGATACATCAATGTAGGTGCTTGAGCCAGTTTATGTTTTAGCTGTTTATTAGCCTCAGCAGCCTCAAAAGCGAGCTTGGATGCTTTTGGTTTTACTTTAAAAAAATCTGTCAAATGTGACACTAATTGTGTGCAACTAGGTATGAAACTTCGATATAAGTTGATTAGATTCTGTATGCCATTTGTAAAATCTTAGATACAAGGCATTGAATACCTATACAAATCACATCAAGACTTAAGTTCCCGTTCGTAAAAGCTTTTTTAAAGTAATTCGATCTGTTGAGATACATTTGATTCAAGCTGCATATTTCTTTTGAGATTTTAATATTTAAAGGTAAATTTAGACTAGTTACGTCCCCGTTCATACCATACCTGGTACCGCGAAGACCGAAAAATAGTCCACCATGGATAACTAAAACGGTCAGGAAACTCCTTAGAAAAAGGAAGAATCACTGGAATATGTTCATCTCTACTGGTTTAGAACAATACAGATCCAGTTATTGTAAGATTAGGAATGCCTGTAAAGCGTTAATAAGCAAGACTAGACATTCATACGAAAAAAAATTGGTTAGGGATTCTAGATATAGTCCGAAACGGTTATTCTCGTATATAAAAAGGCGAACTAAGAGAAGCGATGGAATTCCATCACTTTTGATACGAGACAATCCGTTAATCTTAGCAGAGAATGATGCCGAAAAAGCTGAAGCTTTATCGGAATATTTTAGTAAAGTGTTTTCTATCGGTAATGAGGAACGACCAATGATTCATTGTGACCGTGACGGCTCGCTGATGGATCCTGTAGTCATTGAGAAAGATACTGTTTTAAGGCTACTTCAGCATCTCAAACCTGATAAGTCCAGTGGTCCCGATGATATTCATCCTAGGATTATGAAAGCCATATCAGGTGAAATCGCTGAACCATTAGCGATACTATTCGACATGTCTCTGAGACAGTCCAGACTTCCTAGAGACTGGAAAGACGCCATAATAAGTCCGGTGTATAAGGCTGGGAGTAGGGATTTAGTTAGTAACTATAGACCCGTTAGCTTAACTAGTGCAGTTGTGAAACTGATGGAAAAAATCATTCGGACAGCTGTTATAAACTATGTTGAAGGGCAAAATCTTTTCTCCAGGGCACAACATGGTTTTCGGAAAGGCCTATCTTGCTTGACAAATCTTCTCATTGCACGAGAAGAGTGGGCTGCGGCAAAGGATCGGAATGCTTGTGTGGATGTAATTTTCATAGATCTAAGTAAAGCCTTTGATAAGGTTTCACACTCTGGTCTTAAATTCAAACTGAAACGTTTTGGAATCCATAACACAGTCGTCGATTGGATAAGTAACTTTCTCCATGACAGGAGACAAAGGGTAAGGGTTAATGGGGCTCTCTCCTCGTGGGTACCTGTAAAAAGTGGGGTTCCCCAAGGCACAATCCTAGGTCCTCTTCTCTTTTTACTTTATGTAAATGAATTGCCAAATGTAGCAAAATCGTCCGTTCTACTCTTCGCTGATGACATGAAGATTTGGAGACCCATACATAGTATGTCGGATAGAATAGTATTACAGGATGATCTTAGCTCATTGGTGGCATGGTTAGACAGGTGGTCACTAGAAGTAAATCCTAATAAGAGTGTAGTGATGCAGTTAAATAACTCAGATGAATCGTATGACTATACACTACGTGGATTCGTGCTACCCAAAGCAAGAAACCATAAAGACTTAGGAGTTATATTAAGCAATGATCTCAAAACGACTAGTCACTGTAAAACTGCTGCTGCAAAAGGCTATAGGGTATTATGGTCAATTCGTAGGTCTTTCCAGTATTTAGATGATGAAATGTTTGGATTACTATACCCGATTTATGTGCGACCACATTTAGAATACGGGATTCAAGCAGCGAGTCCTTGTTTCAAATATGAAGCAGATATGCTAGAAAGAGTCCAACGACGAGCTACTAAGATGGTACAAGGTCTAGCTGGCCTATCTTATGAAGACAGACTGAGACACCTTAACTTATTTCCGTTATCTTACCGTAGAGTACGGGGTGATCTAATATTGGCTTATCGTATACTGAACGATGACCTTGGTATTAACATGTCTTATCTTTTGCTTCCGTCTAGAACCGATCATTTGAGAGGACATTCGAAGAAAGTTCAAAAACCGAGGTCAAACCGTTTACGTCTGGAGTTCCGTTTCTCGCACCGAGTAGTGAATTACTGGAATTCCCTACCGGAACACGTAATATCAGCACCGTCTGTTAATATATTCAAAACGAGATTGGACCTCCACAGTATTACAAACTGCAAGGATTAATATAGGTCGACAGACCTCCTATCCTTATTACTGAAGACTGAAGACTGAAGACTGAAAGGGCAGACAACGCGGATTGTATTGCGGCCAGCCCAAAACTACTTAAGTAGCACTTGATTAACAGTGAATTCAATTTTTAGTGAGATTTTGGCTTTCATTATAGTAAAATTAGATAGTCAGAGAATTTATATTTGTTTGTATTAGTCAAATGGCTAACATACGTACTAGTAAGAAACGCGGCTCTTACGAGTCACTTTTCCAATTGTTCCACTGATTTTGTACGGAAAAAATGGGTGATGAGTCAGGTTACGATATATGTGAATGTATACAATCTCACAACGGGGCCATGCGCCAACTGTTGGGAATATTAAGACAGACTCAAGAGTATTGTAGTGACAGCTCGTGCGTTGATGATTTATCTCATACACCTCAAAGTAACCAAGATCCAATGTCCGGTACCTACATCATGACGTTCGTGGCGATGCTAGCGGTTTTCGCTGCAGTACTGTTTGGCTTGCCACGCTTTCGGTCATCAGATGGGAAGCCTCGCAACAACTTCCAGGTGAACCTTACTTTCTTTTACCAGTTAAGAATACTTCGTTTACTTCATTAACAAACCTGTTTGTGTTATTTATGTTTTAACTAACCTTGGAAGTGTGGTTTAGATTTTCTGGAATAAGAGTTTTTGGTACACAAATCCACATTGTTAATAGTGATCTTGATATATATCGAGATTTTGGGTTTTTTGTCATTTCCCCCAAGTTTACTATGGCGGCTTTTCCAAAATTGGGAGATTGAGATGGCAGTCAAGATGGACTCTATTTTGTTATCTTGACAGACTGTGAAAGTTCCATCTTCGGTCCTAGATTGTTTGTTTATATCTAACATTAAAACCAACAGTACTCGAGAGTTTCAGGTATCCTGCACTTTGCTTTAGGCCTAACTAAGAAAACTGATTGTTTTTAATTCCGCGTCTTCTGAACAAATAATGACTGCTCGTGGTGGTATGACCTAATAACTACATGTTTATGTGCTTAATTTTAGCGGATGACAGGATTCCTATTTAACTACCGAAACCGAAATAGGAAAATGTAGGCTTGCGACATTCAACATTCCCCCTTATTGGTCAGTAGTATTGGTTAATTCAGTGAGCTGGTGAGAGGGTGAGGCTAATTTGGTCTAGATGCAGGGTACTAGGCAATGATGATTAATCAGTTGATGAGATTGTAGACATTAATCGACAATGATGGTTGGGTCATGTGTTACATATGCTTGAACATTGAGAACCACGACGCTCAGTGCTGACCAGTGTTGGAGATGATTGGAAGAAAGTTAGGGGCGGCCATACCAAAGCGTGGCATCAGTGCTTGAAGTCACTAAACTCTACTCTGAATCATGTTGGTAGATGTACACTACTTGGTTGGGGTCCGCGTGACTATCTTAATCAATGGTTGGAGTCTGTATGACATGGCTCAGAATCGATTACAATGGCGTTGGTGTATACACTCTTTGTCTTCCCTTTAACTAAGAGGTTAGAATCGCTTCATATCCTTATTTCTACGAACTAATTTTTCTTCCTATACTATGTCCTTATACACAATCTTCCTTTTATATATTACCACCACTGAACTAACTACTTCTATGAATGCGGTGTTCATCTTGTTATGTTAATGAGGTATGGCAACTTGGACCGATGCATATATGTTCCTGGTCCTGTGTTGTAGCTGATTGACTATGTTTGTCTGCGTTCGGTCTTATGCATATCTTTGTTGTGAAACAGGTTTAAATCATGTCCATGTTTCTATCGATATGATCTTTATTCCGATCTCCATTGATGTCAAACATTTCGAATACGCACGTAGTAATTCGTAAAAGCAAGCGAATTGACGGTACTTTCTTCTTAGGTTAAAGTTAACCAGCGATTTGTACATTTGGTTGTTTAAGCCTTGGACCTTCAGTTACTTAATTTCTCGGATTAACAACCATAGGTAACCGGGTAATATGATTAACTCTTATGCGTAACTTGTGCTTTAAAGCGTAGTATATGAATCTTTGCTAAGTTATGTTAGTGTTATTCGTATGTGCTTATTTTGGGTTCCTTGAGCATGTTCAACTGACTTAAAAAACTAATATCTAGAGGTTATCATCCAATTTTTAGTTCATTTTGATGTAAAAATATAGTTGCCTATGTGAGTTATATTTATTTAATCACCCAATCTAATCGGATAAATTTTGTCGTAATTATATATATGTATAAATATGTAACTATATAAAATTTTATTCTTGACGTTATATTTCACAAATAGGGACCAAATCGTGATCCACCAGCAATCTCGTAACTCTCATGAAGAATGGATTTACTATTGTGATTCTTATCTCCTTTCATAAATAAAATAAGATAAATGTAACATAAGGATCTACATACAAAGAGATTTCTAACTTCAAAGATACTTCTTTGCCTTTCATTTCTTTCAAAAAATTATGGTAACCCAGATTGACAAAGGTCAATTTCTTTTTTAAATGAAGTTGATCTGGAAAAACATTTCTGAGATTCATCTGTTTTCATCTAACTTTCTAAATAATTGACAAATTATTTAAGAATAGCGTCCACTTTATTTGTTTAAATAAGTGAACATGTTTCTACTTTTTTGTATGCTTGTCGATTTTTCTCCCTTATTTTTTTCTTCTGACTCACCCATTTTTTATTATAAAGTGAGGAAGAAGCTTACATTACTTCTACTATTAATATGAAAATGACGATAACTACTGATATGGATAATATTACTTATTATTTTTTGTACTGACGAAAGTTCAACGACTTTTCTCAGAAAGCTAAAAGAGATGCATCTGACCTTTATATTTTGGATTGTTTTCTTTAAATGATATTAGTGTTGCATTCTTGTGTTCATTTGGTGCTAACGTGTCTCTGAGTACGTACGCGTATATCTGTATGTTCTATAGATGAGTAAAAGATCAATACTAATTAGATGGTGGTGAGTCAGTTTAAAAAAATAATAAACGGTTAGCTATACATTTGGAAAATTTTAAGACTAGGACTAAGGTGAATAATCAGTTAATTCTTGCAAATATTTACCTAAGAAGACGAGTAGGAATCAGTTTGTGGGAGAAATAACAAGCTGAAAAACACAAAGAATGACACTAAATAGGGTGCTTTACTACTACAAACTGACAGTGATATAGAAGTACCTACAGTAATCCGGTTCTATTTCAGTCACTTTACAATGTAAAAAGTTCGGAATTCTAAGGGAGATACCGAATTCGAAGGATGCGTAAGTATGTGAGGCAAACGGATAAAAGTATTATATTATGTTCAAATTGGATATGAAAAGTGCTAGAATTAATACACTTGCTTTACATATCTAGCCATCATTACTACTTGTCTCATAAATCCTTAGTACCGAGAATTTTCGTTGTATATGCATCCTAGACCATTAGTTACAGAGTGTGAAGCGTAATAACTTCAATCAGGCACATACATGCGTCTATTCAAGTTGCCATACCACATCATTTCAGTGTGATGAAATTAAGATAAATAGCAGAATGATAAAGGTATCGGTGACCTTAAAAAAAGATTAGTCATAAACAATAATTAGAGGTAATAAGTTGGAGGGATAAAAAGTTTAGGGTAATTTCAAAACTTAATATCTGAGGAAAGAAAGTAAATACACTTTGACCATTGTAACTAATTCCAAGCCATAGCATACAACATCATTAAACATTGGTTACGATAATCGTGTAGACTCTAACCAGGTAGTCTGGATTAGGTAAATGACTTCTTGAAACTTGTACCAATGATCTAGTTAAAAGCTAACTGCTTGACAGGTTATAGTTGATCACTGTAGGCGCCCATAGTTATTTATGTGGCTTGAACTAATAACCGGAGATTCAACGTTGCTAGCCATCTGAAGTTGCATCTTATGAAAATTTACTAGTATTCCTGTGTATAAAAATTGGGATATATTCACATGATATCATTCTTGGTTTTATGATTATCTCTTCATTATATTGTCAGTTAATATAATCAAAATTTAAGTTGGTTCCAAATCAAGAAAAGCTAGTTTCTTTGAATTTGCAAAAAATACCACCTTATTAACCGGCCCCGATTAGAATGGAACCTATATTTAGAGTTTTGTCCTCGAACCATCTCACATCTTAACATAGTCCACTCGATATTCAGCCACTTCAAATAGTGATTACATCACAACATGGTCGACAGAATTTGATCAGCACTAAAGACTAGGCCAACATGACATTGCTTCTCAGTAATCAACCAATACAAAATGAGATGTCTGAAATACAACTGAGTCATTTCATCCAATACCCCAATTGTATATTCTTTACACCCGGTAACCAGGACGTTTTCAGACACTGGTGTAACTAAAATCAACAGTTAAGAATTTCATTGATTGTTGCTCTGTGATTAGTTTGAACAAAAGACATTGGTTGCAATGCAAAAATACTGGTATGTGAGTCAAAGATGTTTAAACGGCTTGTGACATACTATTATTATAATGTAGGCCAATCATGTGGATGAAAGTCATGTAATTGTTCGGTTTTCATCAGATGAGTCAGCGTGCTACGAAGTATAGAGGAAATTACTATCTAATCGCGAGAAATGGATCATGTACTAAGTTAACATGGAATTATCTTTTGATACTTCTGATAAATTAAATGATGGATATACTTACAGATAATCAAGCGAAAACATAATGGTTTATTGGATCTGGCGATAAAATATGGAATTCATAACATCAATAAGTTTTCATTTAGTCAATGAGCACTCCCAGTAGTTGCTCAAGATTAATTTTTTTGTACCGGCAGTAACAAGGATTGATCATGGAATGAAAATTTGAGTTGTGACCAAGAATACTGAAGCTAGCATACTGACTACATGATCTGAAGGTTCTTAGTCCAATCTCATGTGGAGTAGTGAATGTATATGTATATTCTTGTAGTCGAAGATTAACATGAAATGTTTGTATGGGTTTCCAGTAGCTCTAAACAGTCCTCTAATAAACATCGGTTTATGCAGAAAATCTATCTGGAATTATAATGATCAATGAGATAAGTAATTGTAATTCAGTTAGGAAATAAAATTTATTCACAGAAAACTTAAAATCACTCTTTCGTATGCAATGCAATCGAAAATGTGAATGTAACTCATAGTGTAGTACATTTTTATCATATTTAACCCACAAAAGTTCATTACATTGTTATTAAAACATTGTTCTGTCTTTACAATACAATGAATAATGTGAAAATATTCGGAATAAATGGATATGCAACAAAATTTAATAAAATAGTTGGAAAACAGGAATAAACATAACTTAATCTGCAGATATTTTACTCCATGTTAGCTTAAATGTATTTAGCATGAAAGTTGACTGGTTTGTTTGCTTACAGGCATTGCTACGAAATTAGTCGTTACCTTCGAATTTTCAATTATATGTTTGGATCAACACAGCCTTCTCGTCTCAGGGGTTTTGTTTACGAAATTGAGAGGACGAAAAGCCTATGTCTGGCGCTTTAACCGGGTTGGTGGATACTGAGGATCCACCTAGGGGAGTTGGAAAATCCTTATTCCAAGCCAATGGTGCACATATTCTCTTGGATCCTGAAGGAACAAATGGCGTATGAACCGATTCTTGGTCACCGGTTATCATGGGACTGCGTTTCCTGACTGTTAGGATATTCAGAAAAATATCCCAAAAATTATCCTGTTAAGTCTGATGCTATCCTTGGACTTGAAATGGCATCATTTTCCTATTGGTCAATTTTTATTTCACGTGTTGTTCCCCTACTGGTCAATATTTATTTCACGTGTCATTTTCCTGTTGGCCAAATATTGTACAAATGTTATTTTCTATTTTGTGGTACGTTGTGGTCTGTCTGGTTGATATATAAACCGAGTATGTTTGAAATAAATGATTCATATCGCAGAGGCTGAGACTTGTGTTCTGGACTTAACTGGTTGGGCTAGGCGAAAAACGAACCAATCGGAACTCTAAGCTGCTTGTACGGGTTTACGCGTCGTTGTTCCGATCGATAAGTCGCTGCCCTCTAATCGGCGGTCACAAGTTATAACACTGACGTTAATCCACTGCCTTGTGGATTCGACCTTTAGGTCAAAGGTTCCGAATGTGACCCCCTACAACAACCATCTGTTTCGGTTTGGGCGCCCGAGCAGTATCGCAGCCCCCATATAAATCGAATGATTTATGTCGCACATATCTATTTTTCGCCTCCTTATGTCAATTTTTATGTGTTTAAATAAATAAATTTTAAGTGAACGGATGTCGAATCAATGTAGAACATTCCCCAGCAGTCTAGAAATCTTCAGATTCGATACCTGTCTGTGTTGTGGGTGCATACTGCCGAAAAGTCTTATACTAGTACCGGACACCCCATTCTTCCTCATGTTCACTGATAACTTAAATTAGTTTGTGACGTAAACTTCCCGAACTTAAATTGATAATTATAAAACGCTTAATGATTACACTTGGACCATTTTCTAAATTAAGAAATCCAATAAAACTTGAATTTTATGCACTTAGTTCTTATAACGATTGTTTTATAGTAATAAAAATATTCTTACAAAAAGAGAGGTAACGAGATGGTTAACTGAGTTCAGAGTTGATTTTTAAGGCATTCGGACATTTAGAGTAACACTTATTCTGTAATGTACATGTTCTGTCAGTTTTCACCACGAACTGTTCATTAAAGATTACAAACACACTTTACTGAATGATGTCAACCAACACCACTGCTAGGTATTTGGCTAAACTGTCGATTACCTCCAACCAATTGATATCAGATCAAAGAATCATTGAAAAGTAGGTTAACTTAGGTATCTGTTACACTGAATGATTAAACTGTGAAGATCACATGTTCAGTGTAAAACAACACCATTGTCACCCATGTTGGGTGAATTTTTAAATAATGATTTCTAGGATACAAATTTCTAGAAATCAAATGTTCAAACTCATGTGATATATATAACACAACTGCTGTGCAATTCAGTTAGACTGCTCATAGCACAAATGACTAAATTTGTGCTACTCTTTATTTATCTAAAATTTCAAGCGCCTGACATATGTAAACATAAATGAATATTGAAGGATGCATTTCTTGAAATTTTTTATACATGATATAGCAGAACGTATGTGAGTATTTATAAAGTAACGGTGTATGACCTTTAGAAACAACCAATAAGTTCCTCAGTTATTGTGAGCCATATTTCAGTTTTGCATATAACTGAAAGTTTCAAATTTGAGAATTAAAGTATCTTTTTTCATCTTATAGTGGCTGGTAGTTTATTAAAATAAGATTGTTGGGCCCTTTATTTTGTTGTCATTTAGATTGGATGATGTCTGTTGACAGGCTTTTCACTTTAGTGGCCGGAGATCTAACTCCAATTTGGTCGTATGAATGATCGTTGTCGAAATATATATGTCGCCTATCCTTGTATATAATCATCGACTTAAATCGCGTTAGTCAATAATGGAATGAAATAAATCAAATTACGAGAGAGGACGTGTGGATACATATATTTTGTATATGGAGCGAATAGAATAGAGCAAAGCGAAACGACGCGCAGTGGAGATGGTGAGTAAACCAACTCCCTTTTTGTCGAGCGTCAATCAATATTTATGGCCCCACAAATAATAAGTTGCAGACATGTGATGAATAGGATAAGAAATGTACACACACTATGCGCTCGTATAAAAAAGTCAAGATCGGTAAGCGAATAATTAATAAGGTCAAAATGTGACCCAAGTAGGATGAATAGAATGGGATGTTCGAATGCTAGAATAAGTGTATGAGCTTAACATAATAACCGACACTACAAGATCTTTCGCAGTATGCAGAAACTGAGCTTTCAAAATAGCCGGTAATGGTACTAATTCAAATATAAGTATGCTAACCGATCATGGTCGCAGTCATTAGAACAAAGTAATTTTCCGCTAATCATGAGGTCGCTGGAAATGCGTTTTTATAGGACGGTAGGAACTTCCCAAGGAAATCAATACTTCTGTAACAAGTTGATATTCATTCGACTTCTTTCATGTTAATTTACAAAATCCTATACAAATATTAATTTTACATGATTTTGGTCATCATGTCAGTGTTTAACTGTGTTATCCCTTTTAATAATTTCTTAAAATTTCCATATCAACAATTCACACTCGTTACTGATAGCAGATAAATACAATCTATCCGATATTTCATACTTAGCATTGCTAATAAATGAAAAATACAAGTAATCAGAATGGGTTTTGTGAAAATTTTAGAAATTTCACTGATTGAAATCATGAGAAGCCGTTACCAGTGGAGTTCAACCAGGTCTGTTGTGAGATATCAACTCACTGAAGACAATGGTGTATGGTGGCGCAACTTCGTGGATTGGTTGAAGTTAGACATTAACACCGTCGGATGCCTGCTCAGTGGTGTAGTTGGTTAAGCGCCTGACACTAGATTGGTAGGTCCTGTATTCGAGTCTTGCGGGGTGTGGGATCGTGAATGCGCACTGCTGAGGAGTCCCATATTAGGACGAAACGGCCGTCCACTGCTTTCAGGTTTTCCATGGTGGTCTAGCTTCAATTGAATCATGATTTCAATCAGTGAAATACAAGTAAGTTTACTTAATGTTTTGAGATCCTGAAAATTGTTAACAAGACAATCTGTACAATTAATGGAAGTCTAGAATTCACCGATGTGCATAATTGATAGAACTGTAAGTAACAGAATATTGTTGAATAGTAATCAGAATAATGTTTTCTGAATCCAAACTGATGATCTTGAACCTGCTAAGTAAAAGAAAGTGGTATGATCAAAATTGATTGACCACTAAGTAGTGATCACTGTCATGTTTGTCTAGTTTTTTTTAATGCTGACTGAATTCCGTCTATTTATGTGCAATGTAGCAACTAATCTGAGCGGTTCAACATCGTGCGTACTGTGATGATGTGTAAGATGGTTCGAGGTAATCGACTGGGAAAACTGTACCTGGGTTTTGTTCTAGTGGTCAATCATCAGAAAAACATAATAAATCAATTCTAATTATCTCAGGTCTACAAGCGGTCAGTCACGATAAAAACAGATAAGTAATAACAACTCAAACTGTGAAATTGAGTTCTACGTGTACGGATTCAAGTGGGAGTATTAGTTTCCTGAAGACTTCTGGTAATTCCCTACTTGAAGGAACCAATGTCAAGATTTTTCTGTCGAAAGCAGATGTGTTCATGGCACATGTTGAAAATCAGACTGATGAATTAATCGGAAACATGCCACTTTATAAGAGATATGTGGACGATATCTTAGTTGTTTGTGAGAAAAAAGAGGATATGTACGGTTTATTAAATAAACTCAACACTCTCCAAAACCATATTAGTCTCTCATGTGAAGAGGAGAAAAACGATCAGCTTCCCTTCCTAGATATACTCCTGAGTAGACGAGAAGATGGTTCAGTAAAGCGATCTATTTTTAGAAAACCAACGTGGACAGGTCAATATCTTAGTTATTATAGCTATTGCCCTGTGCAATACAAACGTGGTTTGATCAGGTGTCTTTTCAACAGACTCGACCGTATTTGTACCAATGATGCCATTGATGATGATGTTAAGTTGTTAAATAAAACGTTAATAGAAAATGGCTATCCTCTGAAATTCATAAATAGATGGAAAGACCATGGTTCAGCGAGACCTACTATAGCCTCGGTAGAGAAAAAGCCTGTCTACATCACCTTACCATTCAGAGGTGATTCAAATAGCCTTTTACTGAAACAACGACTTAAATCAGTCATCAATAAAACCTATTGCGCAGCAAAGGTCATCATCAAAGAAAGAACAAGGTGCATGCTTCATTCAAAACCTAAAGTACATGGAAACGATTGCGTCACATCCCACTGTGTTTACCAATTTAAATGTGTGTGTGGTCACACATACATAGGGAGGAGCAATCGTGATCTCAACATTAGGGTGAGTGAACATGTACCCAAATGGCTTCAGAAACAAATACAATCAAGTGACCCGATAAGAGCAGAGGATAAACATCCGTCATCCTCTATTGCTAAACATATAATTGAAACAGGTCACAAGATTGATCTAAATTCAGCTTTTGTAGTGCTGTATAAAAGTGTAAAAGGGCGTATACTAAGGTTTATTGAAGCCTTAGCCATACGAAAATTCAAACCCCCTTTGTGTGTTCAAAAACAGTTTGTTCTTACCTTAAACCTACCCTGGTAATATTGACTTATTATCCAGAGTGATTAGGTTTCAAATTGTGTTCACATTATTATTATTATTACTCTTATCATTATCCTTATCTCCTCTTACCCCGTTTCCTGTCTAGTTGACCTTTTATTTTTATATATAAATGCTCTTAACAAGTATATGTGTGACCAGATTGTTCGAAATGTATTGCGCTAATATATCACATAGTTCTGATAATCTTCGTCTTCTAATATCATTATCGAAATTTATCAAAGGGACTAATTGTTTTAAATGTGAACTGAATTTGTTATTCACATAAAAATGTACTTACAATTAAACGTGTACTACAAAAGGCGTTGCCTATAATTTAGAAAGGAATTAATAATTTTGTCAATTACATTATATGAAAATGTCTTTAAATGGCTCGTTTTTTGTTAAAATAAAATGAATGACAGTGTGA